GCGGCCTCCTAGGGAGCCGTCTCCACGGGGTCGGCAGTGGCCTCGCCCCCCGTGGCATCGCCGACGAAAGCTTAAGCTGCGCTCCCACTGGTCGCCGACGTGGAGATCTCGTCCACCACCACCGTCTCGGGCAGCGATCTTCGGGGGCCCCCCGGCAGGCAGGGCGCGTGTGCCCATGCTCTCCCCGTCGGCTGCCCCGGTGCGCCCGGTCCGGAACGCAGCGCGCGCCGTGTTGCAAGCGTCCGCGCGGAGGCGCTGCGCGTTGGCTCCGCCTGGTGCCCCACGCTTTGGCGAGCGTGCTCCGCCAAAGCAGCGATCTCGATGTGCGTGCTGAGCTTCGTGCCGGCACGCCAATTGCGGGTTGCGTGTTGCGTGTCGAGGCGTCTGAGCTCGGCCCTTTTCTTCCTCGTTGGGATCGTTTTCTTATTTGCAGCTTTGCCGATCGGCGCGGGCCCTGGAGTAGATCTTGGCTGTTTTTGGCGCCCGTCTCGGTCAGGCGGAGTCTTCCCCATGGGACGCACTGTTGCAAACAGTCGCACTAAGCAGAGGTCCGGAGCCAAACCCCCTCCTCCCCCCCCTTCCGCCCAATGTCGAAACGCCGAATCAAAAACCGCTCACCATGGTCTTCTCGCGCGATTGCTGCCCCTCCCCTCCTCCCCGGTGTCCTCCTCCACGGCCAGCGCGGCGTCCGGGTATCCAACGAGGGGCCCGCGCCCACGTGGGAGGGGCCAAGAGGTCGCGGCGGCAGTCGCTGCGGCTGCGCCGGGTGGCGCGCAAGCGTCGGCAGCCTCGTGCACCGATGCGCGAGGGGGAGTGGGGGAGACGGTGGGCCAGCCAGAGGGGAGAATAGGGGAACGATCAATGACGTGAACATAAAACTGGGAGATCCGCGCGGATGTCTCGGGTCGGCGCTGGGGCCCCCTGGCGGCGCCTCCGGCGCCGCCCCTGGCGCGCTCCGCGCGCCAGGGAGGGGGGTCCGGCGCAGATCCAAGAAATCCGCGCGGACCTCCGAGTTCTTTTGGTTCTGATTTTTTCGTTCCCCTATAGAAGGGAGGGGGGGAAGCGGTGGTGAGGAGGAGACAAGAAAGGAGACGACGGACGGGGTGCGCTCGCGTCGTATCTGACATCCTGCCCCTCCCAACCGTCCTTCTTCCTACTGCGTGCCATGCTGGACCTGGAGTTCCAAACAAGGATTCATGTTTTTGTGCGCACTGGGGAAATTCCAGGTGCGTGCATTGGAGCATTGGAGGAGGAGGTGGCTGATTAGCAGGAGGAACAGCAGGAGGATGAGGACGGTGGAGGACGAGGACGAACAGCGAGGAGCAGGAGGAGGAGGAGGAGGAGGAGGAGGAGGAGCAGGAGCAGGAGGAGGAGGAGGAGGAACAGGAGCAGGAGGGGAGGAGGAGGAACAGGCGGAGGAGGAGAGAGGAAGAGGGGAGAGAGGAGGAGGAGGAGGAGGGGAGGGGGGGGAGAAGGAGGAGGAGGCGGCGGAGGCGGCGGAGGCGGAAGGAGGAGGAGGGAGGAGTGGAGAGGAGGAGGAGGAGGAGGAGGAGGAGGAGGAGAGGGGGAGGAGGAGGAGGAGCAGGCGGAGGAGGCAGAGAGCTGGAGTAGAAGGATCGGGCGGAGCAGGAGGACCAGGGGAAGGCGTGATGGGGAAAGACTCGGATCCCGAGCGACGGGATCTAAGCGACGATCCCGAAAGGCGCCGAAGCTACAGCGGCAGCACCGTTTTGAGACATCGAGGACGTTCTGATGGAAGCATTACGTGATCGCGAAAAACCGCCTGTGAAGTCCTGTGTGTAAGATAAGGTATACGCGGAGGGGGTCCGGGCGATTCCCTGGCTGCCTTCGGGGGAGAGTGGAGAGAAGTATCCATGTTTATCTGGAGGGAAATAAAGCACGCAGACACCATTATTCGCCGACTCCCCGGAAAACTTTGGAGAACATATGGGAAGTGGGGGGAAGGGCGAAAACCCAGAAAATGGGACCAGGAGAATATGGGGAGTCCGGGGATTTGTGTCTATCGATTTGCGTGTCCGTTGGCCCCCCCTCAGTGGAGCAATCGTGGAAGTACGCCGGTGCGTGCGGGGCGGTTTCTCCCTTCTCTTCTCCCCCTTTCGGGGGAGTGTAAGACCCGGGTTTGCCAGGACTCGGGTTCGCCATCGTTTTTTGACGACCGCGCCTCGGATTTTGACGAGGAGGAGTTTCGTGGGATGTGTGCAGCGGGAGGCCTCGTCAAAATGCAGGCTCGGCCTCGTCTTTTTTTTGACGACCTCGTCGGGGATTTCCGAGTTCCCTGTACCCAGGTCTTACGTCCCCCTGACCCTTTCCACCCCCCCACACACCCCGGTGGAGCGCAGGCCAAGAGAACGAGGTTCTCCTCGCCCCCGCGGAACTGGTACGTCAGACGGGCAGCGGAGCCGTCGTCCCAGGACTGGGGGCACGGGCCGACGGGGGACCGTCCGTGCGCGGCCCCTCCACTTGATGTTGTAGGAGGAGGAGGAGG